TTATATATATATACATATATATATATATGTATATTCTTCTTTGTTTTCCATTCTGAGCAGAAATATGCCACGAGATAGAACACAGCAGCCTTCTCCAATATTTTGTCTACAATTTCTAGTGCTGGTCATGGCTTGACCCTTACCATGTTTTGTTCTGCGTGTTTCCTGATTGGTGTCAGTACCACTTTATGTTGTATTTGACACAGCAAATGGTGAAAACGACGGCGAATCTGCTCATAAGATATCCCGTAATGATGCTCCTTCATATGGCAACGATTCGTCTGATGATGGTAGCAATTCGGATAATTGTACGTCTGCTGAACGCTCTAACAATGGCATTGACACTATCCAGGGTACTCCACGAGCGAGTTTTGGTCATCTCACGGGTAAGTGGATAGTATTACATGTACATTCAAATAGATGATACGCACTCACTCAGCTAATACGCGCTATTCCGGACAAGATCGTTTCGTCTGCATGGACACGACAAGAGGTTGAATATCGGAATCGTTCCAGCAAACCAACACTTTATAGCGTACGTCCTGTGAGGTATACTAAGTCTACCTAAACTGCGCACCGCGGATATAAATGTTGGGTGTCTATGGTGGGTACTTACTTCTATACTTTCAATGGATATGTATGTGACCGTGTCAACAGAAATCGAACAAGATCCAGCATCACCACGCAGTCAAACCGGAGACGGGAACACTTCTGAGAATGACCCAAAGAAAGTCAATGGTAGCGGAAATAAAGCTAATGGCGATGCAAATACAGACAACAGCAACTCTACCCCTGATAATGAAAATGTTCCGGGAGTTGGATATGCTATTACAGATACAGACACAGGAGAGTTTAGCAATAGTACTGAAGGAGAAGAGAATTATGTGAACGGTGACGATATCGATAGCAACCCCGAAGATGATAGAGTTGGGTCAGGTGAAAACAACGAGTCTGATACTGAGGCGACAGAGAGTGCGAACGAAGGAACTGGTGACACACTCGCCCAAAGTAAGTTGTCTGAAATTTTAGACTATAGTTACTACACAGTGCAGATAGGCTAGTGTCCGAGCAATTGACAGCTGCTAACTGGTAGCATGCGTTTGTTACCAAGTGTGCGTATGTTGTGTATACAATATGCGAGGCTGTATTCTGAATAGAGCTCGTACATTCTTACATGCTGCATGATTCCGTATTATGTGCTTTTACAATCTTGTCTCCAAAGAACATTAATGCATGCCAATAGGGAGCGCTATACCAAAACGTTCAGAGTCCGTGGTGTGTGAGAGTAGAGTATTCTGCGTTGGTGCTCATAGTTTGACGTCCTTTGAGCTATGAGCCTATTGTACTATTCATTTAAACCTGGTAGTTTTTCCGACTGAGATTCAGTGATGAAGTTGTCTCACTGAATGTAGCACCGTCTTCTCATCCGGGGTGTTTTGAAGTAGTGGCGTTATGAGCCTATTGTACTCTTCATTTAGGCCTGGTATTTTGTCATACTGAGATGTAGTGATGAAGTTGTCTCACTGAATGTAGCACCGTCTTCTCATCCGGGGTGTTTTGAAGTGGTGGCGTTATGAGCCTATTGTACTCTTCATTTAGGCCTGGTGTTTTGTCCTACTGAGATGCAGTGATGAAATTGTCTCACTGAATGTAGCACCGTCTTCTCATCCGAGGTGTTTTGAAGCAGTGGCGTTATGAGCCTATTGTACTATTCATTTAGGCC